TCCCACTCCCCCTGCTTGTGTTCCCTCTCTCGCTGTGTCTCTCTCTGTCAAATAAATAAAATCTTTAAAAAAAAAAAAAGCACAGCCTCTAACTATGGGCCTCTCACAGTCCAGCCCCACGTTACGCCCGCGAGCTGTCTGCAGTAGAGGCTAAGAGCAAAGGCTCTGAAACTGAACTAGATTTGAATCCCAGCTCTGCCCTTCGGCTGTGTGCTTTGAGCTAGTGACTCTACTTCTCTGAGCCTCAGCGTGCTCATCTACAAAAGGGAGCAATTGTAGCTCCTCAAAGACCCACTGGGGAGATGACATGGGCCCGTGGGGGCAAAGGGTTCAGCTCTGGGTGTGGCCCAGAGCAAGTCCTTGGTTATTCAATTTCACAAATAGATGTCGAGGACCTACCACTCCTCTCGGCACTGGGGATTCAGAAATGGCCAAAACCAGAGAAAATCCCTCCCCTTGGAGAACTTACATTTCCAGTAAGGGAGGCAGGTGAGAAACCAATAAATATATAATGTCAGGAAATTTAATGTGTTAGGAAGGAAAGAAAATAGGGTAGAGGGGTGGAGAGTGACAAGGGAGGGATGCTTTTCTGGAAAGTGTAGTCAGGGAAGGCTTCTCTGGGGAGGTGACATTTGGACAGAGTCTGAGTATAGTGATGGGAGTGAGCCACACGATATCTGGAGGAAGAGCTTGGTGGACAGAGAGGAAATGGAAGTCATCATTATCATCCCCATCATCATCCATGGGCACAGTGCCCAACATATAGTGGGCACTGTGTTGATACTTGCTGAGTGACATAAAGGGACAGAAATGCAAGTGTGACTCCCACCCAAGGAAGAATGGAAGGCAGTGGGTACAATAAGAAAATCAAGGTTGGCTTGGACGCCTGGGTTCTACCCTCTGTCTCTGTTTAGCTATCTGTGTGACCCTGATCAGGTCACTTTCTCTCCGTGGAAACTGGCCACTCTCTCAGGCTTCATGTAAGTCCTGGGTGCTGAGTGTGAGAACGCATCTTTTCAGCCCAGTCTGCGCAGGCCCACTGGTGGCCAAAGGACAGGTTGTGCTCATGGAGGCCCCCGTCTCCCCATCCACCAGGCAACCCCCGAATCCCCAGCCCAAAGAGCCCTCCGTGGAAGTGGCATGCTGTACTCCATGGGCAGACCAGACCCAGCCACCAGATGTGTTCTCACGCTGCTGTTGCTGGCCCACACGGTGTTTTTCAATTCAGATTCGTGGCCAACGTTTAAAATCAGGGAGATTGCATACAATTTTTTTGCTTCTCTTGAAAAACCAGCAAATCTGGCAAGACGAGTCCTGCTTTCCTACACGGTGACACTCGGTGGAAACTGAGTCACAGCTGCCCTTTTATTTAAAGGCTATTGGCTTGCCAGTTTTCCACAGACCCCATGACATGAGGGGGGTGCCCTGACGCAAGGGGTCTTGCCACTCACGAGCATCCTCGGCGGCTGTTTTCCTCATATAGACATTGTTCTCTGTGTCAACAATGTAAAAGGAAAGCCGGGCGGGGAGGGCCTTGTGTCACGAAACACATTTTCCTGCACCCAGTCTGCTGCACTCAACACTGTTCCCTCCCTGTGGGCATTTGAGTTTGCAACCTCTGTTCTATAAAACTACTAAGGCCAGGGGTGAAGAGTATCTAAGGGACATGTTCATTCTCGTTCAGTGGGAAAGCAAGGCCCAGACAACCTAGGAACTTACTCAGGGTCACCCAGCAAATTCGGTAACATAGCTGGGATACCGAACATGGACATCACAGGCCCTCCCCACAGCCTGGGCTGAGAGGAAGCTCTGGGCTTTTGGAGCCCACCCACAGGTGACAGAACCACGGACGGGACCCGACCAAGGGCAGCCGATCCCCAGGCTGGCTGGGAATCTACGAGGCTACGAGGTGGCCTGGTGGGAGAGCTGCCCAAATATCAAGCCAGACGAAGCAGATTCCACGGGAGGTAGAGGGACAGCAGGTGCACAGATGTGTAGCTGAAGATGAAAGGACAGAGAGCAAAGGAGGCCGTGTGCTACAGGGAGGGGCGTGAGCCGGCCGGCTGTGGGAGTGGGTGCCGTGAGAATGTGGGCATTACAACGGAGAAGACGCGCTTAGGGAACCCAAGTTCTAAAAAAAGTCAGGAACTATACAGCAGCAGAAGTGATAAAGAGGCCAAAGCTTAGAAGCAGTAGAAACTACGGAGAGGCCAGGACATGGTCCCCGGAGTGCGTGATGAAGAAAGCCAGCTGGAAGCCAGCCCGAGGAGCAGAGACAAATCCTGCCTGGATTGCAGAGTCTTTGCCCACAGCTCCTGGGACCCGGTGTTCGCTCAGCAGCAATAACTGTTTCTGGGGCCCTGTGATATCGTCTCCCTGCTGATCCCTCCGTTATGCCCCACGCTCAGACCACTCCTCCACAATGGCGCTAACCTGCCTGTGACTCTAGGTGACAACCCCACTTCTGACTCCCAGTGCAGAGCTCATCCCACCGCCCCAGCTGGATTAAGCTTGTCACGGGTGCTAGGTGGCAGCACCTTGTTCCGACAGACACCTGCTGGGAACCCATCTGAAGGCCAGCCTGCAGAGGCTTTGGTTTGGGTGGCTCAGTGATCCTTTTAAATGGACCTGGGACGCTGCTAGGCTGTTGTGCCTCGGTCCCCACCACTTCCTATCCGGTTCAACCAGGCTTGATATTTGCACGTCTGGCCCCTTGGGCACCGGAGTGAGGGTCCCAACTCCAGCCTTAGACCCAGAGGCAGCAGAGTGTTTCTGTAAAAGGGTCAGCAAGTAAATATTCTGGGTTCTGTGAGCCAAGAGGCAAAATTGAGGCTATTGTGTAGGTCCTTGTGTAACTAACTAAATAAATGTCCACAAATTTCTTACTGAAGAAATAAACTTTATTTATGGACACTGAAATCTGAATTTCATGTGATGTTCCTGTGTCATGAGATATTTTTCTTTTGACTCTTTTCAACCATTACAAAAATGTAAAAGCTATTCTTCGCTCCTGGGCTGTACAAAGCGGACAGCCGGCTGGATCTGGCCAACTCTAGTTGCTAACTCCCACCCTCGGCCGTCACCTCTGGCAGCCCCGAGTGCCCGGACCAGCTAAGGCCTCAGACGGAGAAAAGGGAAGAAGCGGGACCACACGGTTGGTACAGTGGGGGTCAGGTCCCAGGCGTAGGCCCTGCCTCAAGGCCATGATCACCACGCTCTGAGTCACAGCCTCACTGAGCCCACTGAGACCCCAGCCCTGACACCTTACCTTTAAAGTCAAACCACCACTTGAAAGAGGGCCTTTGGGATGGGAAGAAGAACAAGATGGTGACAATGGCCACTCCGGTGACAGCATCAGAAAGAAACCTACAATGACAAGGCCCCAAAGCATGTGACCCTGGGCATCGCAGCGGGGCCACCAGTTTGGCAGATTTGCAAATGAGGATTTGTGGGAGGGAACTAGGCACTTGCTGGGAAGGGAGCGTTGTTGGAGGCCACTGGATACCGCCCTGCCTGCACTCAGCGTGGATGCAACTGCCCGGTATGCTGAAGCCCTCTCTCTGCCCATGGCTCCCTGGGGCCTTTGAGGCCACAGGAGACAAATGCTTATCCTCCTAGGAAGACAGACTTGACCAAAGAGGAGGGAAGAATCTGAGCACCATCAAATATGGGATCTGTGGAACTCCCGCGAATCACCAGAACCAGGGCTTCTCTAAGGGCTTGTATGCATTTGTTCAGCTTGCTTTCCTCCTGGGATGGGCAGCTTACTACTCAGAGATGCAGCCCATTCGCACCAGCAGAAAGCAGGTGGAAGCAGCCTCACAGCCCCTCACAATCTAATTACTGCCTTTCAAGGATCCACTGCATGTCTTGTGGAGGCATTAAACTCACAGAAGTCTCAGAAACAGCCCTCTGGGGCAGGCAGCTTCCATCTCAGATGAGGAATCTGAGGCTCAGTGAGCAGAAGCAACTTGCTCAAGGCCAGGCCATGGTCCATGCAGGATATGGGCACTGAACCCAGATTTGCCTGGCTCCCAGCTCAATGAAGCATAGAGCCAAATGTCCACAAAAGCCCTTTGATCCCACACATTTGGGAAGAAGAGTATTCAAATGGCCAAGAACCTAGAAAAGATGGTCAATATCACTGCATTAGAGAAATAGAAACTCCACGCTAATGGAGTATCATTAATCAGCTAACAGGCAAAACTTGAAAGCGTGATGATAGTACCTAATGGGGACGTTGGAAAACATACTGGCAGTGTGAAAAGAAACTGGTTTAACCTTCTGGAGGGCAGCTGACAACAGGTTTCAATCCTTTACATGTGAGTACCCCTTGTCCAGTTATCGTACTTCCAGTTATCAGGAAAACTGGGCTCTTGTACACAGATTATGTATAGGGATGTTCAATATGGATAAGAGGGGGAAAAATGGAAGATTTTTAATACAGACATGTGTAAATAACTTGTGTATATGATGTATATATATAAATGTATGTATATATGTATATTACATATACATGTAATATGTATATTATTATGTAATAAATATGTATATTATACATGTATATATAATAGTATATCTATAATGAAATACCCTGTATCTGTTTTTTAAAGATAAAAGATAACATCAATGTTTATGCATTGACATAGAAGTGCAACCAAGATATTTTGTAAATCAAAAGAGAAGTTTTTATTTGCAGTATGAGACACAATCCAAAAGGAATTGATTAATAGATTAAGGTGCTATCATTCTGTAGAATACTATGGAGGGTGTAAAAAGAATGAAGTAGGTCAGAAATAGTAAGTTGCCCATGATTATATTCTTTCTAATAAACTATAAACTTTCTAATTTTTTGTAACATGTATACATGTATATATGTCTGTGTGTATGTATTATTATGTGTGCCTGTGTATATCAGATTTGTTAGACACCAAACTTTTAATTGGATAATATCTTCATTTACCAAAGGTAAATTCAGCATTATTTGAAGTTTTTTATAATGAGTATGCATAACTTTTACAATTAAACAAAAAAGGAAAAAGCAGATCACAAATAATATGTCTGCTGTAATCACATTTCTGTTAAAAAATCTTCTGTTTAGATAGGTTTCTTTTTAGCTAGTTTGCATGTATTTTTACAGGTAAATCTATCGAAATATAATTAACATGCAATAAAATGCACCCATTTAAAGGATATAGTTTACATTTTGGCTAATGTATACAGTTTTGTAACCACCCATGGGATTAAGATAGAACCGTTCCCGGATAGGCATTTTTAAGTCAGGAAAGATGTGTATCAGAATTGGAGACTGAGTTTCTAGGTGATTTTCACTGTCTTTGTATTGTTGGAATGTTTGCAACACCCACTTTTCATCTGAAAAAAAATGACAAAGTATCTACATTTTGGAAAAATAAGACAGTGGTAGTAAGAGCCACTCTTCTTGGCTCCATGAAATGACATTGCTTCTTCCTCATAATAACCCGCATGAGATCAGAACCTTATATCACCCATTTTACCATGGGGCATTTGAGGCTCCGAGAGTCACTACACTCCGAGAGTATAGAGCTGCTCTATCCAATATGGCAGCCACCGGCCACATGTGGCTAGTGGACACTTGAATTCTGGCAATACCAAACTTAGGTGTGCTGCCTTATAAAATGCACACCGGACTTTGAAGATTGAGTATGAACAAAAGTAAAATATCTCAATAATTTTCATATCGATTGCATGTTGAAATAATATACTGGGTTAAATGAAATATATTACTAAAATTAATTTCATTGTTTCTTTTGACTTTTTAAATGTGGCCACTAAAACTTGGAAATTACGTGTGTGTCTCACATTATATTTCTACTGGATGGTGCTGATGGAAATCATCAGATCTCACTGAAGCCAGAGGACATATTTCCTATCTAATCATATTTTGACACACCAGAATCTGACACAGTTGCCTACTTGCTCTTTCTTAAAATGCTCCGCAATCTTGGCCTTTGCTTGTTTGTTGCTCCTGGTTTCCCGCCTACCTCACAGCCTGCTTCTTCCATTTCTCTCCTCTACACAGCTCCCAAATGTTTGGGGACCTCAGAGGCTTCTACACTCTCCCTTGCAGGATTTGAAAGAAATATTTGACTTGACAAGTCTAACCCAAGTCCAAAATCGAATTGTTGATAAGCCACCCACAGCTCAGCCTCCTAGGGAATGTTCTTCTCCAACTAACCACCATTCATGCTGGTGCTCCAACCCTCGTGTCCCCAAATCCTACCAGATGGCAGGTACTATCATTTCTAACTTTCAAACAGATCTTGACGGCTGCCTATCCAATGTTACCACTTTGACACACACCAGCGAGGCCTTTCCCCTAGACCAAGGCTCAGTGAGCGTCTTCTGTAAAGGGCCACATAGTAAACACTCCTGACTTTGCAGCCCATATGGTCTCTGTCCCGACTCATCTTTGATGTTGCAGTATGAAAGCAGCTGAGGACAATACATAAGTGAACAGGTGTGGCTGAGTTCCATGAAACTTTATTTGTAGACATGGACCTTTGAATTTCATATAATTTTCATGTGTCACAAATATTATTTGTCTTTTGATTTTTTAGCCATTTAAAAAGGTAAAAGCCATTCAAAAACAAGTGCTGGGGCCAGATTTGGCCCAGGAGCCTTAGTTTGCTGGCCCTGTCCTAGAAGACAGGGTCTCATCTAGATGGTGTTAGAGCTCCTACCTGTTTCCCCCATCCATCCCCTAATAAGTAGAGCTAATACTTTCCTGAGTTCTTTCCATGTGCCCTTCTAATCACTTGACATGAACTAACTCATTGATCCTTGGAACAATCCAGTGAGAACTGTACTATGACAATACCATTTCATAGATGAGAAAACAGAGGCACAGAGCCTCCCACACAGAAAAGACACGAATGTTTTATGTGTCCAACAAGACTCTCCAGGATCTGGCTCTCGCCTACCCTTTCAGCCACGTCGTGCTGACTTTCCTCCCTTCCTGCCGAGCCTCCTCGGTCACACTGGGCTTCTTTCAATTTGCCAAATGTGCTAAAGTAAGGTCCTGCCTGTGGCTCTCAGTAGACCTTCCCAGCAGGTCTCCAGTGCTCATCGCTCCTCTTCCGATCTTTACTTCCTCCCAGAACCACCCAAAGTCAATGTCCCCGCCCATTCTTTCATAATATAGTCCTCTCGCTCTTTCTTTCTTTGCACTCATTACAATCTGCAGGGTTTTGTTGTCGAGCTACTTGCTTTTGTCTGCGTCCCCAGCATCTAGCACAATGTGGAGCACATAATAGGCGCTCGATAGATGTTGACCGATTGAACGAACAAACTAATGACTGCATGAATGAATGAATGATGTGCTCAGCGTTGCACCACCATTTACAAGGGGCAGAGCTGACGTTTGACCCTAGTTTTGCCTGATTCCAAAGGCAAAGCTCCTAACACATGAGAACCCAAAATGTTCTATCATCTGTACCTAAGCTTTTTTGAGGGTAAAGGAAGGCGCTGTTTATAGTCACACGGGACCAAGGGTGTACACCTAGCCCGGCCCCTCCACGTGCACTGCGTCTCCAGCTCCAGGTGGCCCATCCCAGAATCTTCCCTGTGGGGCTCCACCCCCCGCGTCCCCCGAGTCTCACCCAGGGGTGAAGAGGCTGGCCCAGCCAGGGATGAACTTCGGATCCCGGGAGAAGAGGAGGATGGCGAACATGCAGAAAAGGGTGAACACGGCCTGTTCGGCAAACCTGTGGCACAGATAGGCAGGCGCCATGCTGATGGTGGGCTTTGGGTGGACCGCAGAGTGGGAAGGCCTGGGGCGGGTGCCTGCTGGCTGTCACCCGGCCCGGGCCCTGCCTATGAGAAGCTTCGAGAAGTAATTCACTCCTCGGAGTGAGGGGAAGGGTATCTTGGGGTGTAAGGGATTCCTGTCCAGGGGCCCCCACACTCCCCCAGGATCCTTCCAGAGCATTCAGGCACCATCTTCCCCCCAAGTTATTTATATCATGCCCACCGGGAATTTCCCAAGGTCCTAAGGAGAATCACCAGAGAGAAAGAAAAAGCAAAGCAGAGGTGGAGTCAGAAAAGCAGAAAAAAAAGGAAACAGATAGAAACAGAGGTAGGTAAGAGACAGAGGGACAGTCATACATTCAGAGGAAGATAGATGCACTGAGAGGGCAGACAGACAGGGAGAGGGGCAGACACACAGAATCCCCAAATGTTGGAGTAAATGTCTACCCAATGTGCCCATTCCACAGACTGGAGCAGAGCCCAGAGAGGGTTAGCGCTTTGCCCAAGGCTACATAGGAGTTAGTGGCAGAGCCAGGTCCTGGGTGCAGACCTCCTGACTCCTAGGTACTTTCCCTGAATGGGAACCGTGCATTGAAAAAGGTCCCGGAAGCTGCCCGAGGGAGTGTTGGGTATCCCATGTGCCAGGAGGGAAAGAGTGCATTAGCTGGAAGGGCAAGAGGCCCCACCCCACCTGCACCCTGAGGGGCTTCCTGGTCCTCAGGGTATTTACCCCAGCACCAGGGCAAGAGGCTGACTGTATAAGCCATCCCCCTACCCTCCATCTCCAGGCTTCTAGGCCATCGTCCTGAAATTCCCCCGGAAATCAGCCCCCAGGGGTCCAGAGGTCAGGCCAGGAGGTAGGTTTCCTGAAAGTCTATGCTGGGCTCCCTCCCCACCCCAGGAACCCCCGTAGTACCACGCACTTGATGGGTCCCAGGTTCTGGAATTCCTCCCGAATCACGGCGCGAGCCCTGTCTTCTGCATCAGTTTTGATCTCAGATTTCTTCCCCCTCCAGCCCCTGAAACAGAGTAGGGAGGTGAGGAGTGGCCACTGCAAGTATGACTAACTGCTCAACTCCCCCCCCACCCCCCACCTTGTGGCCAAGCCTCATTATCTCTATTCTGGAGACTGCAACAGTCTGCTGAGTGGCCTCCCTGCCCATCTTCCCCACCTATAGCTTTGGTGGTCTTTTAAAAATGTGAGTCTGATCATAAGACTCCCAGGCTTACAATTCTTTAGAGGGTCAAACAGGCACCTGAATAAATTAATGGAACAAAATAGGAAGTCCAGAAATAGACTGGGGATTTTGTCTATGATCAAGTTGGTATCTCAGACTGGTGTAGAAAAAGAGCTATTCAGTCAGTCGTGTTGAACATGTAGATCAATGGGATGGAATTGTGAGTTCAGAAATAAACCCATACTTCCATGCTCAATTGGGTTTTGGCAAGGATACCAAGACCATTCGATGGGGAAAGAATAGCCTTTTAACATATGATGCTAGGACAATTGGATAGCTACATGCAAAAGAATGAACGTGGACCCCTACCTCAAACCATATAAAAAAATTTAACTCGAAAATGGGTCAGACCTAAATATAAGGGCTAGATGTATAAAATTCTTAGAAGAAAACATAGGGGTAAATTTTTCTGGCCTTGGGTTAGGCAACTATTTCTTAAGATATAACACCAAAAGCTCAAGCAACCAAAGATAGAGAAATCAGACTTTGTCAAATTTAAAAACTTTTGTGTGTCCATAAATATCGTTGGACAGCTGGGTGGCCATCTGGAACAAAAAGTGAAGTTGGATCCAAACCTCACATTGCATCCTAAGGACAAACTCCAAACAGGTAAAAGATTTCAGTGTAAAAACAAACAGATGAAAAAAAAAAAAAAAACTAGGGAAAAACATGAGATTATTATTTTTTTTTTTTAAAGATTTTATTTATTTATTTGACAGAGAGAGAGACACCGAGAGCAGGAACACAAGCAGGGGGAGTGGGAGAGGGAGAAGCAGGCTTCCCACAGAGCAGGGAGCCCGATGTGGGACTTGATCCCAGGACCCTGGGATCATGACCTGAGCCGAAGGCAGACGCTTAACGACTGAGCCACCCAGGCGCCCAGATTATTTTTTTTTTACAACTCCTGTAATGGGAAAATCTTTCTAACTATAATTGAAAATTCAGAAGCCACATGAGAAGGATTAAGAGTAAACACTAATCTTTTAATATATAAAGAGTACTAGAAATCAATAAGACCAAGATCAATAATCCATTTCAAAAATGTACAAAGGATAGAAACACAGTTTAACAAGCCACAAGAAAGAAAATACCAGTGGCTTTTATGAAGATAGGTAAGTTTTTCATGTTGCCCTTAATATGAAAAGGTGCTCAAAATGAATGCAAATTATTTTTCTCTTATCAGATCGGCAAAAATCCACTGCTGCAGGGAAGCAGACACTCTCATACATTATAAATGGGAGAACAAATTCGTACGAGTCCTTTGGAGAATGACTTGATAATCTATTAAAAGGAAAAGGTGTTTATTCTCTGACTCCAAAATCTCACCTATGGAAATTTACCTTACAAAAATACATGCGAACATACAAAATCATATCTGTCAGGGAGACTAGTCACCAGAAAATATACTATATCTGCCTGTATTTGTTTAAGGAAACCCTGAAAGATTACCCAGGAAACTTGTTTTTGGGGGAATTATTGGGTGACTTGGTAAATGAAGGCATAGCTGGGAAGAACCATTCTCACTGCATACGTCTTTGCATTGTTTTGATTTTTGAACCATGTGTATGTGTTGTTTATCCAAATTAAAACAGCAACAACAAATGAATATATTTTTTTAAAAATCCTCACAATGGCTCTTTTGTATGAAGATCAAACTCCCACAAGACCCTCAATGATCTAGCCCAGAGTTTCTCAACATTGGAACTACTAACATATTGGGGCAGGATCTTTCTCTGTTGTGGGGTGGGATCATTCCCTGCTGCAGGAGGCTGACTTGTGTATTGCAGAATGTTTAGAAGCATCCCTGGCCTCTACTCACTAGATTCCAGTAGTAATTCCTCAGTTGTGACAACCAAAATGTCTAAAGATATTGCTAAACGTCCCCGGGGACAAAATCGTTCCCAGGTGAAAACTCCTGCCTCATTCCCTGGCCTCATCTCCCATAAATTTCCCTTATCCCCTGAACTCAGTCACTTTAACCTTTGAGTTCCAGAACATCCCTTGCTACCTTCAGCCTCAGGACCTTTGCACTTACTGTTCTATCTGCTTAGAATGCTCTTCATCATGCCCATTTCCTCCCCTCCCTTTACTGAGTTAAGTCTATGCATTCTTCATATCCCAGTTCAAAAGTCCCTTCCCCAAGGAAGCTCTCCCGACCTCCCATTCAGGTGGGAGCCCTCCAGGGCACAGCATTGTATCTCACAGTCTTTTCCTTCACAGCACTTACGGATGGCATTCCTGCTGCACTTGGCTGCTCCCTGTCTGTCTTCCCCACCTTGAGTGTAAGCTCCCCAAGGGCAGGGAGGGTCTCTGCCTTGCCCACTGCTACGTGCTCAATACCTGTAACAGTGGCAGGCACCCAGTGGGTGCTCAGCGGACATTTGCTGAGTGAAGATGGTGTCCATGGCATTGGCCTGAAACTTCTCTGTTACCCAGAAACACCCTCTACCTGCATTTCCTCCATCCTCTCGTGGCCAAGTTCTGCAGATACCTATTAGATTGAAACAGGTCGACTGGAAAAACAGGCTCTATTTCCACCATTGTCCTGGGCAGTTTACACACCCTGCCTTGTTCAGCCTTTACTTTAGCTGGGGCTAATTTTTAGTCCCAATCTTTAGCCCCAATCTACAGGTGAAGACATCAAACCTCAAGGTGGTTACCAAATTGCTCAAGATCACATGGAAGGGTGATTAGAATTCTGGTCTATCTGAGTCCAAGGTCAGGACTTGCCTCTTCGGGCTAATGCGGGCTTTGAACCCCGAGTTTCTCCTCTGAGGTGTTCTGGAAGGCACGTGAGTCAAGGAACACCATGATCAGAGCCTTCCTAGTCTCAAACATTTTCACATCTCTTTAATCCAGAGTAACTTTTACTGGTTTCATTTTACAGATGAGCAAATTAAGGCTCAAAGAGGTGAGGGGAGGGAGTCAGAGAACGACTCTATGACATGCCTGCTACCCCCAGCCCTGAGCTGTCACTCCTATGTTAGGACGTCCCCAACTCCAGGCATCTGTAACCTACCTTCACAAATGTTCCCATATCCACATACCACCTGGCTCATATTTGCTTAATATTTTCCTCCGAACAGACTCATCATTTCAATTAAAGAAATGTATGTAAATAGAAAACTTTATATTATTCCCATAAATGGAAAACAAGAATCACTTGTCATAAAAAAAAATCATAAAAATAAAAACACAAAAGCAAAGCAATTATTACACTCTGGCTAGACTCCATTGCTGGCTTAGGTCTCTGGAACTGACGCTTGCTCTTTGTTTAAAAAGCTGATTTGGGGGGCGCCTGGGTGGCTCAGTTGTTAAGCGTCTGCCTTCGGCTCGGGTCGTGATCCCGGGGTCCTGGGATCGAGCCCCACGTTGGGCTCCCTGCCCCGCGGGAAGCCTGCTTCTCCCTCTCCCACTCCCCCTGCTTGTGTTCCCTCTCTCGCTGTGTCTCTCTCTGTCAAAAAAATAAATCTTAAAAAAAAAAAAAAAAGCTGATTTGGGAATGTTGGAGAAGTATTACGGTTTCTCCACCACCCAACTGAGACTTGCTCCATTCTATGAAAGTTGATAAAGGATTCTTTTTCTCACTCTATGAGTCGATGTTATTTAATACCTTGTCCTCATGCCACCCCAAGTTATCTCCCGTACCAGCGCCCCATAAAATGGGAGAGAGTGCACTTCCCTCTCCTCTGGTAGGAGTGTTTGTCTTACTTAAAGGGCAGTGCTATCCGTAATTACTGATGATGGGGGACATTAACTGAGGGCCTGGGCGTCGCAGGCAGGTCACATCACATAACCCTCACATCCCTGGGAGGTGAGGTCTCCTATAGTCACCGCATGAGACGGTAACATGAGATTATAGGGATGATCCTCGGTTTCCGTAGGAGGAAACTCGACTTGAGAAGACCACTCTCTACCCAACGAGAAGGAAGCTGGAACTCCAGTTGGCCTCAAAGCTCGAAGTAAGCATGAGGGGTACCTCAGGGTCATTCCGCCGTACAGGAAGGAGATCCACAGCCAGCCCACCAACAGGAACAGCACCATGAGAGGGAAGGCGAAAATGAACCAGGAGCCGAAATTCACCACATCGCACTGTGGGAAGAAACTGGAAGAAGTGGGGGTTGGGAGGGATGAGATCCAGCCAAGGTCAGCCACGCCGACGTATACTTCATACGTACAGGCAGCTCTTTCTTAGCTAGAACCCTGAGGTTTATATATAGAAACTAGAGTATGCTTAATATTAGCAGTGGGATTGAAGGTATTTCAAGTTTTTCCCCTCATTTTTCTGAATGTTCTATAATGTACCTACATAATCAGAGTAAAGTAATAAAATGTATTTGGGGAGCAAAGGCCAAGGGGGACACTCAGGGCAGGCATTTCTCCACCTCCTCGTGCTCCTGGCTAGAGAATCAGAACCCCGTATTACTTGGCATTCATTCTAAATCCCCTCCTTCTAGACCAGAAGGTCCAAGCTCATGCAATTAAATGTTGTGTGTGGTTTGCATGTGATTTGCATGTAATTGACTCAAATTCCTTCACATTTGATATTTTTACTTATACCGCCAGTATTTTTTCCTTAATTTCTTTTCAAGTTGGAACAAAGTCCTGCTCGCATCAGGGTGGGCAGGCAGCCCGAAAACCCTCTGACAGCACCTGCCCCCTTCTCTGCCCCGTTCCTCCCTATCCCCCAACTCGGTACCTGCCCCAGAAGGCCCCAGAGCCCACATCTTTCCTGTCCAACCCCGGGGATGTGCTCCAGCTTCATTCTCCTGGCCGACTGGCCCTTTGCTGGCACTTCCTTCTAACTGAGGACACTAAGGGGCCAAACCCAGGCTGTCCTCATGTCTCAAGCAGGACCATCTTGGCTTCTGGTTTTTCAGTCCTTAAGCAAAAAACACAAGGCACAGCCAGGCCTTGCTCAAAGATGAAAAGACATGAAAGGTGTGCAGTGGGCTTAAGTCAATCGGGGGGGAATACTGATGCCTGGCCCCCATCCACATCTCCTGAATCAGAATCTCTGCAACGGAGACCCAGGCATATTTTTCTCACCCTCCCGGCTGACTCTACTATGCACCCGTGGCTGAGGATCACTGGCTTCTATCATCAACTTGGAAAATCAAAAGATTTTAGAACCTGAGAATATAGTGGAGGATTAAGGTTTTAAAATCGGTTCAGGAAGCAAAACACGAGTGTACTTAGAATTTCTCATGAAAATCACTTTGATTAAAAGTGATAGCAAACCTGCTCTCAGGAAGACCAGCTTTCCCCCATCCTCCTAGGAAGTCCTTGTTTCTTTGATTGACTGTCAGGTAAAGAAGTTGCCCAGCACCTGGGGCCATGTTGCATAGTAAATACTTCTGTTGTGTTTGTTTGCCAAATGCATCTCCACTGCAAAGGAATCTTAGAATCCCCACCTCTCAGAAAATCTTAGGAACAGAATCTCGAAATACTGGAATTGTTTACATCTTCAAACTAAGAGGACTTGGGATAAGGGAATTGACAAGTCATGCCATCTGACTTTCTTCAAAAGAATCTTTCTCTTTTATTCTCCCACCCTGATGGACGGACTCCCAGACACTGTTTGAGCAGCTTCAACATTGGGGAGACTTTAGCTCCTGGCAGAGCCCATTCCACGGCTGGCCTGTGTGCCTGGTTGCAAAGCTTCTCCCAGGACCTCACAGCCACAGACCAAAGCTTCCAGCTGGGTTCGTTTTTAGAGCAGATGTCACATCATGTCATTCCTTTGCTCCTAGCTTTCCACTGACCCCCCATCTCACTGGCAGGAAAAGCTGGGGTCCTAACAACTTACCTTAGCTCTTCCCATACTTCCCTTTGCCCCCCACACCCCAGACTCTCTGTCTTTGTGCTGCTCGCCTTTGAACAGGCTATTCCCTATCTGGAATGTTCTTCCCTCCTGTGCTCACATAGCTTCTAGGTCTCAGATGTCACTCTGTTAGAGAGGTCCCATATCCCTGGCCAATCTATATAAAATAGCACCCACTCCTGTCCCTTCCATAGCCTTCCGTTGTCTTATTTTATTTCGTAACTTATCACACCGACATATTATATATCCATTTCCCTTTTCCTTTATTGCTTGTCTCCCCCACCAAAACGGAACTTCCCCAGGGCAGGGACTTTGCTGGGTTTGTACCCTGCTGGGTCCGCAGAGGCTGGCCAAGAGAAGGCATCCAGTACAGATTTCCCCAACGTGGAATGGAGAAGGAGAGGGGTGGGAGGAGCAGAAACTCCAGGGCTAGGTGGGGCGCACCTGCATTTACCTTTTGAGCTGGCCAAGCAGGATGAGGTTGGGGGCCGTGCCCGTGAGGGTGGCAGTGCCCCCAATGCTGGCCGAGTAGGGGATGGAGATGAGAAAGCCCTTCCAGATGTTTCTGCGATATTCCTCCTCCTTCTTGCAGTCTGCCAGAAGGTCCAATGGAGCGTCGGCCTCAGGGCAGTCTTTGCTTTAAACAAACGCAAAGAGAAGCCACTCAGAACACACTCAGGATTTCTGGCCTCGTGGGGAAACACACCGGGTGGGCTGGGAAAACTAAGTGGTCTTCCTGGAAGGCAGCTCAGCACTGGCATCAAAAGCCTCTAAAGATGTGCAACCTTTCAGCTCAAGTGTTCTGGGCAGGTGCCCCAGGTGTAGGTGGAAGAGTTTGCATTGGCACTAACTATGGTTTGTATTGAAGACAACCTAAATCTCCATCAAAAAGGGGTTGGCTAGATAAAAATGATCCTCTTTCTGGATTGAACACCAACACGGCTCTTAAAAATGATGATCCAGATGGATGTTTATTAAGATGAAAGATAGCCATTATGTAAAGGGAAAAAGGGTCGGTAACCGCACTACTCAATTTTTTTTATTTTTAAAATATTCACATAACTTATGAATATATGAGTATTAAGAAAAACTTAGAATGGTGTACACAAAGTTGTCTTGGTGCCTTTCTTGGGGGTGGAAATATGGATTTTTTTCCCTTCTTTTTTTCTTTCTTTGTATTTTCTGGGTCTTTCTGGTGCAGTTAAAAGAATATTGGGAAAGAATGAAATTAAGAATTGTTAATTATGTAATTAAAAGATAATTACATTGCTGTAAATTTATTAAGGTGAAAAGATGTTCCCTACATTCCGTTAAGAGAGACAGCAGGTTACAGAAGAGCATATACAGCATTATCAATGTTATCAAATTATCAATCCAGAAATAATCTAGAATAGTATTCACTTAACTGTTTTGGGAGTGAAATGCTAGGTACATTTTTCTTTTTGTTTAAGAGTATTCTTTTAAATTGTGCAATTACAAAATTTTTGTAAGTGAATGAAATTAAGAATTGTCCCTGTATAACAAATTAATTTTTTTAAGAGAATCAAAGACACTTCAAATATCTTCTGGCCTTAATTACTACATGAGAGGCCCCTTATCTGGAAGGCAATTGGGATATGACCTGGGGTCTAGAAGGAAGACAAGGACTGAAAGCAGCTGGAGACTGATGTCACTTCTCAGGGGGAAAGTTCTGGCAGGAACTGTGGGCCCCCCCAGACTTGGGGACCCAACCAGACTGAGCCTCACAATGAGAATGAGAGAACAAAAGGGGCCTGAGAGCTCATCTAGTGCAAGCCCCTTTGTTCAGTTGGGGAAACTGAGGCCCAGAGAGGGGACTTTCGTTCCAATGGACATAGAGTCTCCATCCAATGAATGGGGTTTGCATTCAGTTGACATGGAGTTCTAGAGAATGAGGGTTGGGTCTTTTCCACTAGATTCAGCACAAGCTCTGCGTGGGCAGGTGGTTCAAATAGATTCCTAGGTTGTGCGATAGTGAGTGGCTGGGCCAATCACAGACACCGTATCTCAAAGCTGGACTAAAAGCCCCCAGATACAGTGCCAGGAAAGAGCAGAGACCATGGAATAAGACAATCAGACATAAGATCATGTCCCTCCTCTGCTAAAAGCGTCCACTGGATCCCATGTCATTAATAGTCAAGGCTACATCATTGGCCTATGAGGTTCCTCATGCTCTGTCCCTCCACCACCACCCCTCACCACACAAGCAATTTCTCTGACCCCAATTCCTACCATACACTCACCCAACTCCAGCCTTACTGGCTTCCTGGCTGCTCTGGACTCTCAGGACCTCTGCATGGGTTGGCCCCTCTGCTGAGAACACTCTTCCCAAAGATCCCCCCTGACCCTTACCTCCTATAGGTGCTTGCTTAAGCCTGACCTTCTTAGAGAGGCCTTTCCTGACCACTCATTTTAAAACTGCCTTTTCACACCCTACAGGCCCCTTCCTTAGCCTTCTTTCCTGCATTGTTCTCCCACATGGCTCTCACCAACCATCTGACATACTGTGAATTTTACTCGTGTGTTTTGTTTCTTGTCACTGAGACGTAAACTCCACAAGGGCTGGATTTTTGTCCGTTGCTGCATCCCCGCCTGGGGATGTACCTGGCTCATTGTAAGCTATCTATAAATATTTGTTGAATGAATAAAACAGACCTGACTGATGCCCAGCAATGCCTTGAGCAGGTGACTTTACTTCCGCTGTTTTATCACCCAAGGTAACAAAGCCATGAATAACAAGCACTCTCATCTGTGCATGTAGGGCCCAGCAATGATCCAGCTTGCTCAACATTATCTCATTTAATCTCAAAATAACCCTCTACAGTGGGTTCCAGTATCATGTCCACTGGGTGGGTGAATCTAGCAGAGGCTCAGAGAGATTAAGTGACTTGTCCAAATCACACAGCCGGTAAGTGGCAGAGCCAGGTTCAAAGTCAGGTCTGCAGGGCTCCAAACCCCAAGATCTTAACCACGCTGCCAAATACAAAGGACACCAGCCACTAAACGTGCCATCAATGTGAAGATGCTTCCTAAGTCACACAAGTGTGAAGGATTGTGATTGTCTCTTAGGATGCTTTTGTCTTTAGAAGCTCTGGATGCCTGTCTGCATGTCTCTCCTCCTTGACTGTCACCTAGTTTGAGCATTCCTGCTCCTCTGAGGCCTCCTCTCAGGTCCTCCCCCTCACCAGAGGGACTTAACGTGCTCCCCTGCCCTTGCTATCCACATGTGTGTTTTTTTAAGGAGGCTGGGTACATCCATGCCCAAGCCAAAGGGATGGATGGTAGACACCTGGGCGTTAGGTCATTTGGAGAAAAATCTGGGGGTGGGGAGAGGATTGCTTGCAGCACTGAATTCTTGCTTGTCATCTCCTTGGGGCAAGCACTCGCTCCTCGGTACCAGGAACTCACTCTTCTGGGCTGGCCAGAAATTGCATCTCCGTGGGCACGGGGTGCAGGCCGTTCCTCCGCACAGCAGCTAGGAGGAAAGAGCATGGTGTCTTTAGTGTAATGTAACAAATGGATAGGAGTGTTCCTATTCTCAGGTTTAGATAAATCCCTTAATCTCACTGTACCTCAGTTCTTTAATTCATAAAATGGAAGTAATAATTCTCCTAGGGTTGTCAAGAGGACTAAGGAGTTGACCCATTTGCTATCGGCGGAATGCTTGCGTCCCCCCCAAATTCATATGTGGAAACCTAATCCCTAATGTGATGGTATTAGGAGGTGGGGACTTCGGGAGGTGTGCCTTTATAAAAGATGCCTCACAAAGCTCCCTTACCCCTCCTCCCACCATGTGTGGACACAGCAAGAAGATGGCTATCTATGAACCGAGAAACAGTCCCTCACCAGAGAGCAAATTTGCTGGCACCTTGATCTTGGACTTCCCAGCCTCCAGAACTATGAAAAATAAATGCTCAATCTATGCTGTTTTTGTTATAGCAGACTGAATGGATTAAGACACCATTTAAAGCAGGGACTGGCAAATTTCTTCTGTAAGAGACCAGATAGTAAATATCTTAGTCTTTGGGGCCCTGTGGTCTCTGTCGTACTCAACTCTGCCACAAAAGCAGCCATAGACAATACAGAAATGAATACGTGTGGCTAAACCTTTATTTTTGGACACCGAACTTTGAAGATCATATAATTTTCACATGTCACAACATATCCTTCTTTTGATTTATTCAGCCATTTAAAAATATAAAAACTATGCTTAGCTCACAGGTTGCACAAAAAGCAGGCAGCAGGCTAGATTTGGTGGGCCAACATTTGTCAGACTCGCCATTGAAAGAATTTAACAGGAATCTGAACACTGGCAAGGATTTAGTCAATGTGGGTTCCTCTTGAGAAAGAAGAAAGCGGCCCCCTACGTCTGGAACTGGTCGGACCCAGATATGCCGTGTTGTTCTCTTGCTGGACCTAAATGATTTTACACGTCACCAACATCAGACAGAGTTGCTCTGCAAGCGACTGACAAAATGAGACACAGCGAGGGCACTTCATAATCTAGTCTTAGCCCAAAGCCACTTGCCACCCACACAATGCCAAACGTCCTCCTCTCTTGCCAATTGAATGGCTGCTACTTCTTTACTCGTAGAATTGCCCCCGATTTCTGGCATCATTCAATCTAGAGCAAGGTTCCTTAGACCCCCACAAATGCCTCAGCCACAGCCCAAAGCCCGTGAGAGGTCCTTTCTAACACCTGACTGAGGTCATCGTGGCCGCCGGTGGCGCGCGCTCTCTCTCTGGGCAACAGTAATACATCCCACCTCTGTAACCGCAGGTGTGTGTTTGGGAGGAAGGGTCGGGACTCCTGCCACAGCTCTTTCCCTGTCTCAGCAGGTGGCTTGGGGAGGAAGTCCTGTCCCCTCTCCACTCTGGGCTGCTCCTTCCCTCTTGGTACCTAGAGCGAGTGGGAGCCATGGTAGCCGATGACTGGTCCTGCTGACCACCTGCAGAGGTCTGAAGGCTAAATACAGATCAGCTCACCCTGGTGAAAAGACCCTACACGTTGGTGTAGCTTAAGTTTCCTTCAAGCCCTAGTTGAGAGGGATTTATTTGTTGATTACCTGTCTCCCCCATGGACTCCCAGCTCCATGGGGGTTTGTATCAATCATTCCCATTGCCTTGAACAACCTCTACTGGTGGGAGTCTTGTTCACCCAGGACACTGTTTGGCACATAGTAGGTGTTCAATAAATGTGTGGAATTAATGAATCAATGGATGAATGGATCAGTCATGCCACTGTTCTAAACCTCAGCTTCCTCATACATAAAAGAGGGGGGGTGGGCGCCTGCGCGGCTCAGTTTCCTCATCTGTAAAATGGGCACGATGACAAGGCCACCCCTGCAGAGCTGTAGTAGGAGGATCTAATGAGAACACAAGTGGGGCGCTGGAGAAGCCACCACCCATGTGGCCCCTCAGTCCCTCAGGCAGTGCAGGGAGGTGAGCTGGGGGAAGAAACTGGAGGGAAACATCAGGGCTGCTCTCCAAGATTGAGGACCCTCCCCCCTGGGTCTTGTCCAGCGAGCCCTGCCCTGCCCCAGGCTCCGTCCTGCTCTGGCATGGTGCTTACAAGCACAGATTCTAGATTCAGACAGAGCTCAGCAACTAACTAACCACGTTGCTTTGGGCAAATCCTTTTGCCTCCCTGAGCCTCAGTGTCCTCATCTGTAAAATGGGGAGCACCTACTTCCTAGCACCGTTATGAAGATTAAATGAGCTGACGGGTATGAAAAATAAGAGCACCGCGTCTGGCATATGGTGGGCTCTCAGGACTGAGAGCTCACATTGTCATCATTGTTGTTGCTATGGGTGTCTCTCATGGACCTAGAGCCCCCAGGAGCCTCCCCACCCCTGTCCTGGCCCACTAACAGTCCCCACTCCCCCCACACCTGTCTTCACGTCCTGCCACCAGGATGGAGCACAGAGACTGCGTGAAAGGGAACATCTCTCTTTTGCACTGGAACTAGCCTTGTTTTAGGTCTTAGGGCTGATCATTAATCAATTCTTGCTCTCTGATCCCACCACTTGTGAAAGTAGGTGTCTGCCCCAGCTTCCCAGGCCCTCGTACCTCCTGACATCCTGCAGCATTCAGGAGAAGACTCTGGATTTCACCTTGCACCCAACACTGAGTGTGACCGTAAGCAAGTCCCTTCCCCTTCCTGGGTCTCAGATTTTTCATCTTTATAATGAGGGAAATGGCTTCAAACTTTTTTTTTTTTTTGTGGCCACTAGACTCTTCGAAAAAAACTCTTGCGTACGAGGCAGAATACCAGAGGTTAAGAGTTCAGGCTCTGAAGTCAGCCAGCCTAGATTCAAAATACCAGAGCCGCTGTTTTGAAACTGTGACTTTGGAAGCTACTTTATCCTCTTTTATTTTTAAACTTCTTCCAATCTTCTAAATGAGGTCAATGCCGGCTCCACCTTCTGAGGATGTAAGGCCCCACGAAGAGCCCCAGCACGAAGTACGTGCTCAGTAAACATCTGTGATTGCCACGTGGAAGCCCAGTGGATAAAATAGGTAAAGTGGGGAAGCTGGGGTAGACATGGGAGAAGGCGCAGAAGCTTCACTGCTTCTCACCACTCCAGGGGGACAGTGACACAGTTCTCTGGAAGCCCCAAGAGTCCGGGGAAACTGTCTGAAAACGAACGAAGCCAACTCTGGCCTGTGGGCTGAATCGCAGAGATGAGCCTCCTGACTGAGAATGGTTTTTACATTTTTAAATGGCTGGAGAAAATCAGTAGAGGCACAATATTTCATGGTGTAAAAATTACGTGCAATTTTAATTTCAGCACCCACAAATTACATTTCACTGGCACCCAGCCACGCCCACTTACTTACATCTCGCCTGTGGATGCTTTCTCTCCGCAAGGGCACAGTTTGAGCAGTGGTGATGGTGTGGCCAGCAAAGCCTAAAATATTTCCTGTCTGGTCACTTACAGAAACAGTTTTCTGACCCCTGCTATAGAACATCTCTTCCTTCCCACGTGGATGACTTTGACCTTTCGTAGGTCCTGGCTCAGCTACTTTACCAATGATGCAACTGATTCTGGTCATATCAATTTCCCTCTTTGAACCTCACCTGTAAAGTACTTATCATCATTTCTAGCTTTCAGGGCTGATGTGAAAATAAAGTAAGCAAAACCCCTGACTGCATGGTAGGCAAATACCCATACCACAGTAAACGAGATTAACTTAGACGGTATGTGGATCAATATTTAGATTTTAACATATATATTAATTTTAACACATATTCAAAAAAGCATAACTAGCACTCAAAGCCTGTGGTTTCATGAATCATGTTTGTTGTGTTATTTGGGATAAATGATCCAGAGCTCCCGGGGCAGATCTGCCATCTATCCCTCAACATGTGGCTTCCCAGGTAGCATCTCTGGTCCCCCCATCATGTTCACGTTCCAGCCAACAGGAGTAGAGGGCGGGTAGGGCAGGACCCGGAAGTTGCACACTCCATTCCCACTCATATACCATTGGCCACACTTAGTCACAGGACCACATCTAATTGCAAGGGAAGCAGGGAAAGTCAGCTTTTTCTCTTCAAAGCCATGTGCCCATGTGGGGCTTCTGTTACTAGAAGAACAAAGAAAGACTCAATATAAACTAGAGATTTCTGCCCACATAGGAACCAATGGAAAGCTTCCTTTTATTTTTACTTGTTTTAAAGATTTTATTTATTAATTTGACAGAGAGAGACACAGCAAGAGAGGGAACACAAGCAGGGGGAGTGGGAAAGGGAGAAGCAGGCTTACCGAGGAGCAGGGAGCCCAGTGTGGGGCTCTATCCCAGGACCCTGGGATCATGACCTGAGCTGAAGGCAGACGCTTAACGACTGAGCCACCCAGGTGCCCCGAAAGCTTCCTTTTAAAATACATTTATGTAAATAGGGGCACCTGGGTGGCTCAGTTGTTTAAGCGTCCGACTCTTGGTTTCAGCTCAGGTGGTGATCCTCAGGGTCAT